ATTAAGAAATTTTCTATTTATCTTACATACCAACCACAGATCTCCCAAACCTTGATTCTTGATGAGAGCGGCTTCTAAGCCCCTGCTCTTTTACCTAAAACCAAGTCTGCACTCACGCTGACGATGTTAGTTCTCTTCCACCGTAGCCTGAATCTTCTCATTTTGCTTGATCTCCTTTACCCACTGGGGTCATGGCTGTCTAGGCTTGGACTCGACTCATGTTTATGTCAATGGTGACCCTAGAGTTGCTTTGTAGGGAGTATTTGTGGGGTGGCCACAGGCAATCTGGCTGAAAGGAAGCTTCCCTCACGGACCCAGTATTTTGTTGGCTTCTGGGTTTATCTTGAGTGATGGTGTGTGTGTTGGGGTGGGGGCAGTCTACAGAAGGATTATCCCCGAAGTCTCACCAAAGTCATGTTGCTACACCCTGGCTAGTTCTCTGACCCTGACCACCTTGCACACATCCTCCCTTCTCCCATTTCTTCTTGTTGGTGCTGCTTATCCTCCAAGCTCCGTTCAAGACAATGGCTTGTGCTCCTGAGACCTTTCTCCATTCTTTCACTCTGTGTGTGTGTGTGTGTGTGTGTGTGTGTGTGTGTGTGTGTGTGTGTGTGTATTGGGGGCCTTTGTCAGCTTGGTGGTTTCACATTTGTTTTGAGATTATTTATTTCCTCTGACTCACCCGGAGGATGGAACCCTGGGAGAGCAGAACTGTGCCCGTCTCTGCCACCACCATCTTCCTGCCCCTGGCAGGAGGCCTACAGTCCTGCTGGGTGCTGTTAATGAATGCACATCTGCTCTCTTGCCCCTTTCCAGCCCACAAGCCTGCTGGCCTTCACTGTCTCCTCTGCCTTTCCAAGCTTCACTTTTCTTTTTCTTTTTTCTTTTATGTGCGTTGGTGTTTTGCTTGCATGTATGTCTGTGTGAGGGTGTCAGTCTTGGAGTCACAGGCAGTTGTGAGCTGCCCTGTGGGTGCTGGGAATTGAACCTGGGTCCTCTGGATGAGCAGTCAGTGCTCTCGACCTTTGAGCCATCTCTCCAGCCCCAAGCTTCGCTTTTCTAAGTTTACTCCATCCTCTCCAGAACTGCCTGTCTTGAGTCCATGCCGAGTCTGATGCCCGAGGGGGACTGGCTAGAGAGACATGCTCATCTTGCTGCTGAAGCGTGGCTCTGGTGTCTGCTCCTCGCACAGCACCTGCACTGTAGCTGAGTTTTGCCCCACCGCTCAGAGCAGGAAGCCCAGTTTTCAGACACGTGGTTTATGGGGACATACTGGACTTGGAGGTGAATGCACTGGCTCCCGAGCTGTCTTGTGTTGGCAATGCTCAGTTTTGCTCCCCTGCTGTCTTCTCCCCGCGTTCAGTGCCACTTTCCCAGGTCCCCCTGTCCTCAGAGCAGCCCTCTGGGAACCTGCCTCCCTCCTCAGAGGCTTCCTCTCTTTGCTGCCCGGTGACCTTTGGGACACTTCCTCATCTTCTGCATTGGTGAGTCAGGCGTGCCCTAGACATGGGCAGACACAGACATGATTCTAGGCAGGCACTTCCGGTTAGGACAGTTCCCCCAGTTCATGGAAGGAGATGTGGAGAAGTGTAGCTCGGTGCTCCGAAGCTCGCTGCCCCTCACCTGCCCACCAGCTTGCTATACGTGCCCCGTGAGGGAGTAGGTAACACCTGAGCGAGCCTCATCCTCGTGTGTGTCCTGATACGTTCCCACAATCCCGTGCTTTCCCAAGCTGCTTGCTGCCTCCGGTCTCTCCCCTCTCCCCCCAGTCTCTTCCTTTCTCGAAGCTCATTTTCTGCAACCCGTAGGCTGCCCGAGCCTCCCCACCCTCAGTCTGGTGGCGACTACGGAAACCTTCTCCAGATTCTTTGTCTGGCTTCAGTCTCCTGTGCCGGGCGAGCTCTCGGGCACAGTAGCTGCCTGTGCTGCCTCCATCTCCTCACCTCCACTTGGCTTTGCGGCTGGAAGAGTGTCCCGACGGTTCACTGCAGGAAGCTTAGATGGAAGCACACATCGGCAGAACCCCCAACTGCCCTGTGATCCCCAAAGTCCAAAGATAACTGTTACTGATGCCGTTTTTTCTGCTTCGCTTTCTTTGAGAATTCACGCCGGGTCAGTGGTCATGTGGGATGGGGATGGTGTGGTGTCTACAATTTTCCTCCCGCTTCTTCTCCTTACGCGCACGAGTCCAACACAGTGAACGGCATCCCTTGAGGGCTGTATCCAGTTTCACCTCCTCAATAAGCTTTCCCATTAAAATCATTTTCCTGATTGCCCTCTCCCTCTCTCTTTCTCACTTACGCTTGACACTCTATTAGGCTCCATTAGGGTACTGGTTGACAGTGACATCTACTTGCTTCTTATTAGGGATTATGCCACAAGCCACTCAATCAACAAGGTCCTAATTAGTACCCAGCTCTGCGCAGACCTCTTGGGCACTGAGCCAGTGAGTGGCGGTACTAGAACAGTCTGAAACAGAGTCTGCTCAGAGGAGAAAGGTAAAGAAGGCGCTTACACACAGAGACTTTTATCACCATGTGGATTGTGCTCAGGAAAGTGTAGCAATAAGGGCTGGATGTAGTACAGGGGCCTCCAGAGACCATGGTCTCTGGACAAGACTGGGAGTTCCGCAGGGCCTGGCATTGGACTAGGGTTTTAGAAGAAATTTATTCAGTTGACTTGAATTTATAGGTTCCTAAGGGTCTGTGCTGATCCAACAGTTCAACAAGCACGCTAGAGCTCTAAACAATGTCCCGGATGTGGCTTCTCTGTCCCCCGTCCCCAGCTGAGCACTTGGGCTGAGCTAAGGAGCGGGTAGGACAGACTTTCCTGTCTGTGGGAATTGCCTCCTTCTCTTCAGAGACCCTCTCATTCTCCTCACCAGAACATGTCTGCCTAGGCTGGACTGGTCCCTTCCAGCCTTCAGCATCTTCTCCCTACAAGAACATGTGGTTTGTCTGAGCAAATGGATTTTTTTCTAAGAGGCCACGATCCTGCTGGTTTCCCCAGGGCTCCCATAATGCGCCGCGTGTGCCTCCGGCAGCCAGCTCCATCAAGCATTTCATTATCTTCCTGGGATGTATCACTTTCCGTTTAGCTCTCCAGAGACAGCTTGTTATCTTCTTAACAAACCTTAATTATTTACAAGCAATCATTGAGGCCTCAAGCTGGGTCTCCACACCCTTGCTCCGCAGGGAGACCTCTCTCCACTTAGGACGTCTTGCTGGCTGGGCTTTCCTTCTTTGCAGGGGAGGGACTCACTAGGTCCTTCATTTTATATTCATGCAGTTTCTTTTTCTTTAAACAGATGTCTTTTCTATTTATATGTTTTTAAAACTAAATGGTAGCATGAATTGAGTCATGTGTTTATTACTTTATACTGCCTGTGGCATGGTAGGCAAGAGATTGCCACCAAGGTGTGTCTCCAGTTTTATTTGGGGACAGTTTCTAGTAACACAGGGGTGGGTAGGGACAGGTCCTTCCATCAAGTGTCTTGAGTTATAAACCTACCCTTTTTTTTTTTTTTTTTTTTTTTTTTTGGTTCGTGACAGGCAGGGTTTCTCTGTGTAGTTTTGGTGCCTTTTCTGGGACTCACTCTGTAGCCCAGGCTGACCTCGAACTCACAGAGATCCACCTGCCTCTGCCTCCCGAGCACTGGGATTAAAGGCGTGCGCCACCACCGCCCAAACCCACCCCTCTTTGTGAAAGTTATCTATGACTCATCCACCGCTGTCAAAGGACACTTGCTGGAGGTTGGCCTGGGCCTTGGGGCCTTTGCCAAGCCCTGGGGATCTGAAGTGAAGGCAATCCCAGACAATGGGAGTTCTCACAGTTCTCGCTTCGCATCGGGGTAAAGGATGGAAATTCCATGGCTGGCCCAGCAGTCCTCATGTGTGCCTCAGGAGAACCAGCAGGACTTTGGTGTGGCAGGCGACAGAAAGGCAACATCTCTGCTTAGGAGAGTTAGGACATTTTCTTCAAGGCGATGCCCGTTTTCCAAACCTTTTCCACCAACTGCTGTAACGCAGGAAGAGTCTCATGAGTCTCTCCTTGCAGATAAAAACACTTTTCCAAACCCTGTCACCTCAGATGTCCCCAGGGGTTAGCACATTAACGTGTTATTAGTTCTAACACCTTATAACAATCGTGTTAGTCGGCCTCAGTGTAACAAAATGTCTGGGAAGAAAAATCTGCTTAAAAGGAGGAAAGATGTATTTTGGCTCAAGGTTTTTAGTCCATGGTTGATCGGATCCATTGCCTTTGGGCTCAAAGTGAGGCAGAGTATCATTGTGTGTATACACAGTAAGAGCAGGGTGGCTGACCTCACGGTAGACGATGAAGGGAGGCAGGGAGGGAGAAAGGAAGGGGGAACTAGGACAAGATGAACAAACTAGACTCTTTAGGAGCATGGCCTCAAGGATCCAGTCTCCCCCTCCAACATTTCTTATCATCCTCCAATAGAATGTCAAATTATGTCGTTATCAATAAATTAATCTATCCATCAATGAGGTCAGAGCCCTCGTGATCCAATAGCTTCCCCAAGGCCCCACCTCCGAACACAGCTGCACTGGAGACTAAGCTTTCGATACGTGCATGAGTCATTGCGGGAGATTTCAGATCTGAGTCACAACGGCAACGTACTCTATCAGAGAGGTGTGCTCCTTGAGCAAGGCAAGAAGCAAAGTACGATGGGAAGGAAGACAACGTCTGGAGGCAGGAATCGGTGACGAGCTGTGGGAAGTGTGGACTCTTGGCAACTGAAAGGGGGATTATTAATGTCAATGGGGGGATTGGAAGCTTCTAGAAATGACCTCTTCCCCAGTTTTCTGGTCAAGGGTTCGATGTCTTACCTGCCTTTGTTTAATCTCCTGAGTGAGGGTGCAAAGACCCACAGAAATGAAGAGTTGAAGAACTAATAAGAACAAGGTCAACAGGAGGGAGAGAAAGGGCCAGGGTTTATTAGATTATGACAAGGCCAGTCAGATGTTTTGTTGCCGATTATGTCAGAATGGGAGAACACTGACTGTATCAGCAGAAAGGATAAAGCTGGTTATGGTGAAGCCCACAATGGCATAAAGTTCTGGAACACAGGGGAGCCTCGCACCCACAGTCATGGAAAATGTAAGCACGCCCCAGGGCACACAGTCAGTCTTTTAAAACCTTTCTCAGGTTTACAGCTAACATCCAAATTATGCTGTACACTAGCCAAAGGTTCCTTTTATTATTATTCTTTATGAGCCTTTCCTTATTCATCTCTCTGTCTCTGTCTCTCTCTCTGTCTCTGTCTCTCTCTGTCTCTGTCTCTCTGTCTCTCTCTGTCTCTCTCTCTCTCTCTTCCCTCATACATCTATTCACATGCAATGATTTTAACCCCCTGCCAAAATGATTGCTAAAATCGATCTCTTCCTTAGCTTCCATCATTAGTGATGACTGCTGCTTTCTGTCGGCTAACTTGTGATGGTGGGTGGTTGTCTCTTGTGAGGAACTTCTAACCAAGATGCATCCCAACAGGAGACTAGGAGATGACAACGTACAAGTTGTTCAATAAGCGGAAAAGCCCGTAACAGTCGCTATCACGTACGGAGCACTGATTATGACTTAGGAGCCATTAGAGCAAAGACCCGTTTCCCGTCCCTTCAGGCTCACACAATCCACCTGTCAAGCAAGGGCCTCTGGTGCAGGTGGCCTCCATAAGCTGCTCGGGGCTACACCTTGGGTGGAGGAAGGAATTCTGAGATACCGCAGCTTTGGAAGCTGTGTCTTCAGGCTGTCTGCTGCTGCGTAGCATGGACGCCGAGAGCTGGGCTGTGAGAACAGAGTGGTGAGTTGTCCCAGGCTTTTTCTTTTGGGCCACCAACCAGCTCCCAAATCACGACACAGAGCCTTAGGAGTTTTGAATGCTTGGCCTTGCTTAGGCTCATTTCCGGCTAGCTCTTTTAACTTAACTGAAAGATAAACTTCTCTTTATCTACCTTTTACCTCAGGGCTTATTACCTTTCTTCTGTTTATCTTTCTTTCACTGCTTCTCTGTGTCTGTCTGTCTGTCTGTCTGGAGTCTGTCTGGCTTCTTGCCCTGGGCATGTCCCTCCTTCTCTCCTCTTTCTCTCATTCTTCCTTTTTTCTTTCCTTCCTTCTCCCAAGCCTAGATTTCTATTTATTCTCTCTGCTTGCCAGCCCCACCGATCCTTTCTCAGCCTAGCTATTGGCCGTTCGGCTCTTTATTGGACCAATCAGGTGCCTTAGGCAGGCAAGGTTAAACAAATGCAACACATCTTTACATAGTTAAACAGATGCAGCAAACACAAAAGTAACACACCTTTACACAGCTAAAGGAACATTCTGCAGCATAAACAATTGTAACACATCTGACCTAGTTAAAACGATATTCCACAACAGTGAACAAACAAGAATAATCAAAGGGGTGTTTCTGAGTTAGAAAATAAAAGGGGAAGCTGGGAGAGGAAAGATTTTTGTCTTGTTGGGAGGAGGATGCACAGAGTCCCCGATTAGCCAGGCTGCTCTGTTGTGATCTGTCAAGGATGTGGAATACCTCAGAGCTGTAAGGTATTTCCCAACAGCAGGTTTGTTTCCAGCCTGGTTCTTCTCCTACATAAAGCTCAAGTTCATTTCTCTTCTGCTGGAAAATGTTCTGCCTGGAGTTGACTAAGGGGAGTGCATGGAGGCTGGAGAGGTGGCTGGGCAGTGAGGAATGCTTGCTGCTCTGCCACAGGACTTGAGTTTAATTCCCAGAATCCACACAGGGTGGCTCACAACGGCCTGTAACTCCAGCTCCAGAGGATCCAACACCTTCCTCTGAGATGCGTGGGCATTCGGTCCCATACACAACACCCTGTCACACACACAGAGAACTAAGTGTGTGTATGCGTCTAGTCTATGTCCATAAACCCTGTCCTAGCAGGAGGGGCTGCATGCATTTCTGCCTTGCCCCCCAGAAAAGAGCAGGGTTCTGGTTCACCTGGTAGACACATACTTGACTGTAGACTGAAGAAAGGATGTAAGAGTTTCATTCACAAGGAATAGGGTGAAGGAAAGGATTCTGTTGGAGGTCAGGGCAAACAGTCCCTGATACCTCGGGCCTAGGCAATGTGATCATTTTGCCCTGACAGTTGGGCAGGCAGAAGCACCAGACAAGTGCTGACATTTGTCAACTATATCTAGGTAGAACAAATTGCTTAACACCTCTGAACTACATGTTCAATTTTGTCAACTGAATACTAGAGACAACATCAAAGAGAACATAAGAATAAATGAGCTGGGCAGTGGTGGTGCACGCCTTTAATCCCAGCACTTGGGAGGCAGAGGCAGGCGGATCTCTGTGAGTTTGAGGCCAGCCTGGGCTACAGAGTGAGTTCCAGGAAAGGCTCCAAAGCTACACAGAGAAACCCTGTCTCAAACAAACAAACTAACTACTAACTAACTAACTAACTAACTAAAGAGTAAATGAAAAATACTTATACCTGTGCCACCAAGCTGTAGTTAATGTAATGTAGGACGGATAGGAGCTGGGAATTCTCCTCTTCCTGACTGTTGGCTTACTATGCCATTCATGACTTAGCCATGAGTGAGTGGACAACTCGATGCTGAAGGAATAGCTTAATGAGTTGGCTCTCTTTGATTTGGTGCTGAGACAGAGTGTGCTACCTGGACTCCACCAGTGCTAGCAGTTGTGACATGCAGCTCATGTATAAGACAAGAAAGAATCATTATGCAGGCCATGAGGAGGCCTGAGAAGTCACCTTGAGGACAAGGCTCCAGGGAAATGGGTCCAGGCAAGAGGTGAGGTGAAGATCAATGCTCTCTGTCTCTGTCTCTCAGGCTCCAGGGAAATGGGTCCAGGCAAGAGGTGAGGTGAAGATCAATGGCAGTTGCCATGACTACCACCAGCCACCCAGGGAATGGCATATAATCATGCTCTCTGAACAGGATGTAGAGCGGCAGCTGGGACCTGGTGGGTAGAATCAGAGGTCTTTTCCAGCAAACAGTCTCCTGGTGTAGGATGCATTGCTAGTAACAAGAATGAATGTGTTTTCTGATAGATGAAGGTGGGGGGAGAGACTTCTGGGGACATGGAGGAGCAGTTGGTGAGACATGGCCATGTGGGAGACGGCTTAGGAGCAGGCTTCAGATGCCCAGGAAGCCAGGGTTTAAATGACTTCTCAGTAGCATCTGACCTCCTTGCTCCAACTACATCAGGAATTTACAAATGCCAAGGAGGATGAGGCTGGCTTTTGGAAGCTTCTTTCATCCTCTTCCCCAGTATCTGTTTCTCTGATTTTTACAAAATGACCCCAGGAGTTCTCATCGTCCAGCTCCCTTGTTGGGCAGTGCCCACTGTAAAAGCAGTTGGCTCTCACTTTAAGTACAGTACTTTGAGTGAAACCTGCACACCAAAGTATGGACAGCCCCATTCCCTGGAGGTGTTTGAATTTTCAAGAAAATCTTGTGTTCTTGCGTTATTTCTGTTGCTCTAACTAGTATCCCGACAAAAAGCAACTGAAGAACAGGTTTACTTGACTTTATAATACCTAGTTACAGTCCATCATTTTGGAGAAGTCAAGGCAGGACTCAAGCAACTAGTCACAGCATGTCTGCCTTCAAGGGCAGAGAGAGAATGAATGTGTTCTTGTACAGCTTGCCGCCTCTGCTTCTACAGTTCCAGGACCCCAGCCTAGGGAATGGTGTTGCTCATAATGGGCTTGGTCTTCCTACCTCAACGAACAATCAAGACAGTTCCCCCTAGATTTACCACAGTCAAAATGGATCTAGAGCATTTCTCAATGATGACTCTTCCCGGGTGATTCTAGGTTATGTCAAATTGACAGTTAATAACCAGCACACCTTGTTAGTCTGAGCACAAGACTTCACAGTGGTGTCTTCAGAACTAGGCGATGGAAGGCTATCTTAGCAGGATGTTTTCCTTCCTTATGGTGCAACCTCCTCCCAGGAGCCCTCAGAGGAGACTTGTTCATACTGCTACCTTCAAGCCCACCAACCCACCTGTGCCTTTAACCACATCTTGTCACAGCAGGTGGGTGGCTTGGGGTGGTTTCTAAGGTCTGTTCCTCTTCCCACCTTATGCTTTGGGCTCCTTTTTTCTTCTTCTTCAATAAACAGCCTCAAAATATTTTTAAATTGTCAAATACACCATTTCCTCCTTGAAGACACACACCTGACTTGGTCCTAATGCTTATTTTTGCTGTCGTGGGCTCCTGTCCTTTCCGGAAAAGTTGTCTACTTACCCTTGTCCTGTTGGCTCCGGATCTTCTCCCATTTAAACTCCATCCTCACCACTGCACTCCAGCGGCTCATGCCAAGTTCATCGCCACGTTGCCACATCCAGCGGCTGGCCTTGGAGCTCCCTGTATAAACAGATCATTGACATTTGAGCAGTTGACCCCTGTCTTAGTCATTGTCCTGTTGCTGTGAAGAGACTCCATGACCAAGGCAGCTCTTAAGAAAGAAAGCGTCTACCTGGGGGCTGGCTTAGAGTTTCAGAGGCTTAGTCCATGGTCATCATGGCAGGGAGCATGGCATCATGGCAGCAGGCACCGGAGCAATTGCCGAGAGCTACATTCTGATTCATAAGGAGGGAGGGAAGGAGAGAGAGAGAGAGAGAGAGAGAGAGAGAGAGAGAGAGAGAGA